AAAAAAAAAAAAAAAAAAAGAAAAAAAAAAGAGTAACATGCGAGGCTCGCGAATTGGAAATGCCAAAGCGATTTCGGATAACGGTATCGCGTGTCCGTTTCCATTGGATAAAATCTAGTTTGACGATGACCACGGTATCCTTACATTTATTTCCTCCGCTTATGTTACAGCAGCACGCTCGATATTATATCGTATCGATGATATCGAAATCCGGGATTCTCCCGTGTACTGAAATTTTTTTCTATCGAAATAATAATCAAACCTCGCGAGAGGATTATATATTCAATTTCTTACGGACGATATTTATCGTATATTCGCGTTCTTCGAATTTGGAATATTTTTTTTTTTCTTGTTTTTTTTTATATAAAAATTCAATGATCCGAAATGAAAACTTTTCCAAATACGCGAAAAAATAAGGATAATTCAACGATTGTGATCGTTGATTATAGAAAAGAAAAAAAAAGCTCGATGACGATTAATAATCGTAAATGTTCCACGCGGGAAATGAAAATATTATGCGAACGCCAACAAGTTGAGACAAATTGAATTCTCTCTCTGAAAATTTGTCATGCTATCGTACGCGATGATCGTTGCATTATATCGAGGCATTAATTTCCCTTCGGTCGGGCGGAATTCGGGCTTTTCCAATTTCATTCCGTTTAACGTTCCAGTTAAAAAATGGTAAGCGATAAATTGCGTAATAAAACGACGAACCGTTTTCGTTGCAATATAAGCGACATACCATTACGCTCATTTGTCGAAATCAAAATTAGAAACAGGAAAATGACAGTAGAGAAGAGTAGATTTTAAACTTAACCTCTATTCGGGCTTATTATCGCGTATACCTTCCGCGGTTGCCCGATGTTAACCGAGTTTGCCCGATGTTAACCGAGTTTGCCCGAGGTTGGCCGAATGTTAACCGAAACTTACCCGAAGCCGTTCGACGTTGCCCGAGTATTAATCCGTGGCCTCTATCATTGCACCCTATCATCAATCAATCGCGCGACAATACAAAATGGCTCAAAGCAACTTTTTTTTTCTCTTTTCTTTTTTTCTTCGTCAAAATCACACCGTATTGACTCGCGAGCCAGAAAATTTCTATCGAACGATTCTCGATGATTTCAAAATTCTATTCTCTCTTTCTCTCTCTCTCTCTCTCTCGTAAATTTACAAGAAGATTCGAAGACCACCAGCAGACGGGTCGGGATAGACGGATTCGAGGTTATTTTCGTTGGTTCGGATCCATCCGAAGCGCGGTGAGTCACTCGAAACA